AAAAAGAGAAATAAGAAGTTCAATGTCTTTGTAGCACCACCAGCATCGCCCTCCCCTAGGTGTGTGAGCCTGGAGACAGCTGTTGCTGGGGGGAGCCTCTGAGCAGAGCATTCCACCACATGCAATGGTGGTGAGGCAGAGTCCTGGCAGAATCACCAAGGGATATCTGTTAAGATTTAGAATGCATTTTGCTGCTCATTCATCCTCCATCCCACACAGCTTTTGGCAGGTTGCTTTAATCCTTCTGTCTCAATTTCCTTCAGTGTGAAAGAGGATGTTGTGGTGTTGCCTCCCAGGAAACATCTGAAATTGCTCCCCAGCTGGAGCATCCTTTCAGGCTCTGTGTATGTGGGAGCAGAGCAGTTCTCACTCCCAGGAGCCTGGCTGCAAGGTGGATGGCACAGATAAGTGTTTGGTCACCCCTGTGAGAGGTCACTGCACCACCTCCCAGCTGATAGATGTGGCTCTGTCCTGATGGATGCTGGGTGATGAATAGGAGCCACCAGCCCTTGGGGACCTAATAAATTCCTGGCTGCTGAATAATACAGCAAGGCAAATTGCTTTACAGAATCCAGTGCTTAAAGCTAAATGTTAGATAACATATTACAGGAAGCTGCTTGTGCCTCTGTGCCAGCCTTGCGCAAGCAGCACAAGAGGGGAAGACAAAGCATTTCCACAATCCCTACACAGAATCATAGAATCATAGGAGTTGGCAGGGACCTTTAAAAATCTTCTGGTCCAATCCCTGTGCAATGAATAGGGCCGTGTGTGTAGGGAAACAGCATTCCTAGGGGACCAAGCACTGCTTTGAGACAGGATCCCAAAGATTTGATCTATGGTATTGACAGGTAGGGAAAAAAAGTCCATTTCTCAAATCATTTTGGAGATTTCCTAGAAGAGGGGCAATGGGACAAATCACCCTTTTGGGGACATTTGTTTGTTAGCTAGCAGAAAAGTCTTTGTTTTCTTCCTCCATGAAACAGCCTTTAGCTTTAGACCTGATGCGAATGAGGTAGATGTGGAAGGTGGTGGTATTTTGCACACCCACCTACCTTGAGGAATAGGCTGGCCATACAGGAAGGGAAAACAGAGTGGGTCTGGCAGAGCCATCCCTAGGAAGAAGAGCATTGATGCGTGCACTTGTGGTTAGCGAGTACAGAGAGGCTGCTTAATGGCTGCAGGGGTGGAAATGCACCTCCTGGGAAGGGCAGAATACCGGAGCCAAAGGGATAGCTTAAGTGTTCTTTGGGGGAATCAGAACCATACAGTTCCCTGTATTTGTATTGGCATGTTTCCTACCCAAGTTTGGGTGAGCTGAAATCTTCAGGTCCTTTCAGGACTCAGTGCCCATGCAGCTACTCTGCCCTAGATACAAGAGGTCTGCCCTCACCTGTTTCTTTCTCATCCAAATCTGAGTCTGCAGAGACTCTGCCCTCTGTCAAGGATTGTTTGCTCTCTACTCCTGGTCCCTGCTGAGACCTCTTTGCCCTTCTTCCCTTCACCTCTTGCAGGCAGCCCAGCAGCTCTCCCGCATCCTCCAGTACCTCTCTGAGGACCTCAGAATGCTGGCAGAGGCTCTGTTATTTGCACCAACTGGTACGAACTTAAAAATGTAAATGAACAATTCGGGAATGGCTCTCCTGTCCCATGGTGTGAGAAAGAGCTGGGGTAGTAGAGGGCATGCTGGGGGAGAAGCCTAGGGCCAGAGAATAGCAGCCAAACCTGCCCCACGCAGCAGAGCCTGTTCCCCCCACAGCACCATGAGCTTCAGCTGAAACCCTTCCAGAGCAGATTTCACAACAGAGAATGTAACGATGATGGAGCCCAGCTGTTGCTGACATTGACATCCAGGCTCTGCTTGGCTTTTCTAAGGAGGGCACAGCACTTATGTTTCACTTTTGGATTGTATTTTGCTGGTTGCTTCCAGAATTTTTCCCTAGTATTCCACTATTTTCATGCTCTTGGGCTCTCAGTAGTTCAGTCACTCTGCCCCATTCGTCTCAGTTCCTTCTGCACTTTTCAACGCTTATTAGAGACCTCTGCCAAGAAACCTGATAATTTTCTTTCCCATTTAAGGGAAAGGATTTTGGACTATAAAAGAAATCTCCATTATATCTTAAGTGTTTCTTCGCTGGAAAGAAAATCCCTGGAAACCAAGGGAATCCTTAAAGGGGCATAATAGGAAGCACTGGAACTGAGACAGCTCATTGCATGACAGCCTTTCCCACTCATAAGAACAAGCACAGGGCCCTGGGCTGTGAAAACAATATGGGTTATTGTTACAACTTCTAACTCAATTTAGGATATGAAAACCAGCATCCCTCAGCATCGGGAACCAGCCAAAACTCATGAGCCACCAAAGCTGCAGTGCCGCTCTCTGCTGGAAGCCCATTGTTCCAAATGCCATTGCTGTGACAGCTGCAGGCTTATTTATGTGCAAGGAGCCTTTCTTTCTCACAGCCACTAGTTCACCCGTGACCAGTTCAGTGATGCAAATCAGTCTCCTCTCCTGCTTCAGAGGATGGACAGCAGATGCTGGACTGCTGTGCAGTGTGGGTGTTTGTGAAGATGTGATGCTTCTCTTTATGCAGGCAGAGGAGGCACTGCAGAGGGATACTGTCACATCTAGGCTCAGTCTGCTTTGCTGTATAAAATCACAGAATCATCAAGGTTGGAAAAGACCACTAAAATCATCTAGTCCAGACATCATCCCATTACCACTACTGTGTGCTGTATGGCTATGTTGTGGTCATGTTGTGGTCTGAGCAACAGTGCCTTCCAAACTCTTCTGCTTGGCAGGTTAAATTCAAGTCTGTATATACCACTGCTTATGAGCCCGGGGGAGCACATTTGTGTCATACTCTGTGCATTTTCCCTTAAGTACTTGAGGTTTAAAGTATTTCCTTGTCAATAACAGCTATAATACACAGGCAGGAAGATGGTTTGCCATGGGCTGCATTCAAGCATTTGGCTGGCTCCATAGGCTGTGGAAATAACAAGCCATAAATAAAGTTTGGAAAAGCTCAGGGTACAAAAATATCAATCAAAAGGAATATCTAAAGCAAGAGTGGGTTAGATAACCTTGGAGAAGAGGGAGCAGACAGCACATTTCTGTATCCTCAGGCCTGTACTGCCCCTTGCTGACAAGCTCACCAGCCACGGAACAAGAAGTGCTGCAGAGAATGGACATCCTGGGGCTGGGAACATTCTCTCCTCTCATCCAGGCTCCTGGATCACTCCAGGCACAGCCATCTGCAGGGTGCCCTCCTGCAGTTCTACCTGAGGCTCAAGCATAATCCTTCATACTGGCAAGGAGAGTGTGGAAGGGTGAACAGTGCAGAGCAGTGCCTCTATGCTGCCCTTTTGTGTCCCCTTTTTGTGGCTGGTTCCCCAGCCTCTTGCCAGACCATATGAGTGACATGGGCAGTGTAGCAAGAGTAATGTGGAAAGATACAAATGCCTTGCAAATAAAAATGAATTGCTTCTCTCCCTGTGATTTAGCTGTATTGAATCTGATGCATGTCCCTGTGTTAGGCTACTTGTCATTTTCCCTCCAACCATTCTCTTCCTGCAGAAGAGTGGTGTCCATTTGTCACAACAGGAGATAATGTGCCCTGGATGCCAGTGCTAACAAACAAATAACCTGCTCTCATATAGCACTGCCAGCTGGAAGTTTCAAGACCCTTCATAACCATTTACAGATTTAACTTCACAGCCCTAACCAGGAATTTTCATCTCTATTGTAAGGGAAGTAAAGTAGGATGTAGGGGTGAAATGAAGGGAACGTAAGAAGAGAACCAAAGTGCTCTGGATACTGATCGTAGGTTTTCTTGGACTGAAGGAGCTACATCAGAAGAGGTGGGATTGGGCTTGTCAATAGGATTCATTCCCAAACTTTTCTCACATCTCCATACTAAATGATTTTCTGTGCCTTTATTTCCCCAACTGCAAAAGTGATTCACTTCTCCTTATAAGAAAGTCTGGAGAAAAAAATAAATACCAATAAAAACAAAAAACAAAACGAAACAAAACAAAAAAAAACTCATTGAGATTTTAGAAGGTCATCTCTAAAACAGGTATGGACATTTAAACACCAAAAATAGTAGCATAACAGTGATATTGCATACACAAGGCAATGGGAGAAGCATATGAAATAAGGAGAAGTCTTTCTCAGGTTAATCACATATACTCCAGCTTCATGGTTTAAAAACCTCATAGTAGGAATTGTCACTACAGCACCCAAGAGGCACGACCAATCAATGCAAAGGGGAGAAAAGGCTAACGAACAGAGCTGTGTACCTCTGCTACACCTGCATAAGCAGGTGAGCTGCATTAAGTAGCGCTAATGTACCCATTAAGTAATGCCAATGAAGGTACTGGCTCCTGCTGAGACCCATTTTCCCCTGTTGGAGGGGAAAGAGAATAGAGTGCTAAAAGGATACTTTGAATGCTGTATTTTCTGGTTAGCAGATGCTCTATTTCATAGAGATCAGATCAGAAATCTGTTATTATTCCTTCCATCTCTATCTGCAAAAACATGTAACAATTCTAAGTGCAGGCTTTCCCTTTGATGAGAGGTTGCTAGTGCGAGGTTGATGGCCCAGCTCACTCCTTGCATGAAGATGTGCAGCTTCACAGAGCTCAGCTGCTCCTAGCTCAGCAAGCAGGGCCTAGAAAGCAATAACAGCCCTGCTGGGCTTATCAGCACACTCTGCTTGTCGTTTTTCTCCTGGCACCAATCCCTGCTCCCGCTTTCACGGATGATACCACCGGGAGCTGGAGGATGGTGGGAAGAGTCCTACTGCTACGGAAGGATGCTACAGCTCTCCTTTCGGTATTAGATCTGGTCCAGGCGCTTCACTCGCTGTAAATCAGCCCCGGGGCGGCAGGGCCAGGTCAGGAAAGCGTTAACCTTCCCTGCAATGCTGCATCCCAGCTCACGGTGGAGCTGCCTTCCTCTCTTCCACCCCCAACTTCCAATTCACTTCAAACAACTCCGGGACAGAATTGCAGGGAAAAGCTGGAGGTTCAGACTAGACTTGTTGATCTCCGTTTCGAGGCAGCAGAAGGAAGTACCGAAGCTTTCCTTTGTGTCTTCACCAAGAGAAGGGTGGGGGAAGGGGGCAGATGCGGCTTCGGAGTTGACGGCAGGCAGGAGCGAGGAGCCGCAGCCGAAGGAAGGCCTTGGAAAGCTTCCTGCCGAGGGATCCGATTTACCTCTCTTCCCTTCCCCCCGCCCCCCGGACTCTGTGGCCAGACGGGAGCGCGGCCGCCATCCCTCCGCCTCGAGGCTGCCCGCGGGGGGATGCGAGCGGGGCCATCCCGGCTGCCCGCCCCGACGCACGATGTAGCCGCCCTCGGTCCCGCACAGCCCCGCGCCGCCTCGCTGGGAGCCCGCAGGAGGAGGTAGGTTTGGGCCGGGAGAGCGGAGCCCTCTCCCGCGTGGGGCTGCGGCCGGGAGTGGCCCCGCGGAAGGGCTGAGGGCAGCGTCGGGGTTTCGCTATCGGCGTGGGGGCACCCACATCGATGGGGAGAGGGGCAGAGCCCCGGCGCCGTGCTGGACGAGCAGGGAGAAAGCCGTTCCTTTCTGCGCCGAGATTTCTCTTCGTGCCATCTTGTGTAAGCAACAGTGCTTGGGGCTGTTATAAGGCACTGGCTTTGCAATGAAGGCTCGGGGGTGGTTCTTATTCCCATTTTCGTTGATTTTCCTGTTATGCAGAGGGCTGCGTGGGGTATGGGGAGGCGTCCCTGGGTAGCCCAGGGAGGTAGAGTGCGTCGTTAGAGTGACTGGAAATACTCGCTCTTTCTCGTTCACAGAGCTTTCCTCGGGGAAATTTGCAAGGCTGCAGTTATAAAAGCCTCTGCTCCCACCTGCCGCCTCCACGGCCGGGCAGAGCGGGAAAAGTTGCCCGGGTGGGTCGTGGGGGCACGCGGGGTATTGTGCCTGCTGTCCAGTAGGGCCTCATTGCGCGAGGGAACGGCGGGTCCGAGCACTAGGAGACTGTCGGTGGTTGGGCCGGCGCTCTCCTGTCCTGTCTCTTCGGGATGGGAAACAACGTACCAGCGCAGCCGTGGCTAACGGCCGGGCGCCTTTTGGGGAGCAGCGCTGAGCGGTGCTCGGGGGAGCTCACTTTAACTCAGCAGCTCCCAGACAGCCTTTTCTCAGAAGAGGCTGCTGAAGCCGTGCCCAGCCTCCTTAGCTCTCTGGACGAGGTGTACAGACAACCCTCCCGGGCAGAGCCTGGGATCCACCGGGAGAGAGGGCAGCACCCGGCCGCCGCCCGGGGGAGCTCGGCGGTAGCCGCCGCTCCGCCACGTGGGAGCGGGCGGCCTTCAGCACCGCGGGCGCGGACAGCGCCTGCCCGAGGCCGCCCGCCCGAGCGGGGCGCGGAGAGGGGTTCAGCACCGCGAGGGCGGACAGCGCCACCGCCTCCCCCTGAGCAGATTAGCGGGGCCGGGCTGCCCCGGGCGGGGATAAGGCCGGCGGGCAGGCGGCCCGCGGGAGCCGAGGTCAGCGGGCAGGGACCCATGGTTGGCTTCTCTTGCAGCTCTGGGGCATGGAGGGGAAGGAGAGGTGAGGAGAGCCGGCCCCCGCACGCCCTGCCCCACACCGCACCTTGGAGCATCCAGCCTGAGGGGGACCAGCGATGCCTCTGGGGATGAATAAGCATGGATCTCGCTCTACTACCTCTTTGCCTCCGGACCCCACGGAGATCGTCAGGAGCAAGGCCTGCTCCCGCAGGGTCAAGCTCAATGTGGGGGGGCTGGCCCACGAGGTTCTCTGGCGGACCTTGGACAGGTTGCCACGGACCAGGCTGGGTAAGCTTAGAGACTGCAACACACACGACTCCCTCATGGAGATCTGTGATGACTACAACCTGGAGGAGAATGAGTACTTCTTTGACAGGCACCCGGGGGCATTCACCTCAATCTTGAACTTCTACCGTACTGGCAAGCTGCACATGATGGAGGAGATGTGCGCCTTGTCCTTCAGCCAAGAGCTGGACTACTGGGGGGTGGATGAGATCTACCTGGAGTCCTGCTGCCAGGCCCGCTACCATCAGAAGAAGGAGCAGATGAATGAGGAGCTGAAAAGAGAAGCTGAGACCTTGAGGGAAAGGGAAGGGGAGGAATTTGATAACACTTGCTGCGCTGACAAAAGGAAAAAGCTCTGGGACCTCCTGGAGAAGCCCAACTCCTCCGTAGCGGCCAAGGTAAGACTTCCACATTTCTTCTTAAGTCTTGTGTATGCTGGCTCATGACTGTCATGATGCTTATCTGAGATGTCAACTTGCTACCCTGGCTTTAGAGTTTCAGCAATTGTGGCTATATAGATGCTATGAGTACAGGGGAGAGAGACCTCCCAAGTGTGAATGAGGCTTAATGTATATATTTTTGGTGGTTTGGAAGAGATTCAGTTTGCTCTGCCCTGAGGGCAGCCTAGACTGGACAGTGTGAGAACAGCTCCAGTGACCCCTGGGTCAGCATATGCTGGTTGCTGTGGCTGGAGATTAGTAGACTTGTTTTTTGTTGGTCTGTCTTGAAGCATTGTGTAACAGAGATTTCTAGGGGCCCTAAAACATCTGTATCCTACTGCTCAGCCAAACTATTTCTTAAAAGAGGAAATCTACTTGAACTCCTAGAGCCAGGTCTTATCAGGAAATAATGGGTTCCCTTCTAGGGGTTACTTTTTTTTTTTTTTTTTTTTTTCTGCTAAACCTAGCATTTAAATTTCATCATTTACCAGATTCCAGACTATTTTAGGTCTCCATGTACAGTGCTTCTGTGGCTCTGTCCCTATCAATAGTTGCAGCACTGCTTACTCTGAAGTTGGTGCCAGTGCAACAGATCTATTTGAAAGCGTTTGGAAGATAAGATCCTTGCTAGGAAAAACCAATGTTGGAATTGGCTCTGATAATTTAGCTGTCTCATGTTAGTCACATTCTTTAGTGAGGAAAATCTCTGTGAACACACTGATTCAGTAACCATGGGGATAAAAGTAAAGGGGAAGAGATTGAAAACTGCGGGATAGATAACTGGGAAGCATGACTGACTGAGCAGAAGGGACCAAAACTTGTATTGTCTGTGTACTGACAACCAAGTAGAAAGAGGCCCCAGCCACCTATGCAATGTAACCCCATATTGAACATACATTTCCAAGTGCAAACCCCAACTCTGTCCTCTTGGAAGTCTGGATTTGGAGGTTTGCTTAGGGAAAGAAAAAGTCTGTTTTCACATCTTTTCTCTTACTGCAGTGTTGCACACCATGAATGAAGAACATGTGTGAAGTTTTGGGGAGGGATTTTATTAAGTCTGGAGCTTAATGGTTTATTCTGGCAGGGGAAAGGAGAGCCATGGTCTGCTGCTGAACTGATTATCACTTTTTTAATGACAAACGGAGCCCCTGAATGTCTTTTTCTCTCCAATGGCACAGATGACACTGTGCTGAATACATTAATCATTTATAAGGCTTCTTTGGCACAGTCCTGGAATCCTGAAACACAGGCCCTGGGCTTTGCTGTATGTGGCACTGACTCAAAATCCATTAGAGACTGTTGATGTTCATGATTTATAGTATATGAGCAGGGGGTCGTTCTTACCAAATAAGTGTCTTTTGTGATTTATAAGTGAAATACACTCTTGCTTCATTTTCTGAGAAAATTCACGGACTAAGTGCATTCAGCATTGCAGGCATTGGATTAATTGAAAGTGAATCTGTAATGCATTATTATCCTTCCCATTTAAAGCTACCATTCTGTGACTTGGTTACTGTAATGAAAATGGTTGCTCTATGTTATCAGACCTCAAATACTTCAGCAGTTCTCAAACACAGATTTCTACCCATTTCAACTGTAGCAAAGCAAATAAGCATGATGAACAATCAGCTAACCAGGCAGGGACAGAAGAGCTGGTAAGCCTATTCTTTGCCTATTTTTCTCCCTGCTGGTGGAAAGCTTTTCTCTCCTGACAGAGTACGCCCTTTGCTTTGATCACCTTCATGAGAATTCATTCCACATATTGAATAGGCTGAACACAATCTTCATCTTCTGATGGAAGAGAGCAGAGAGAGACTTGGCAGCCTGACCCACTATCTGACCTGACCAGCTGTGCCCAGGCTGCATTTTCTAAATCTGATCCTCTGCCTGGTAGCTTGGAGAATCTGGCCAGAAGCTGTCTGTTCAGTGGAGAACTATTGCTGAGGCTATGGGTCTCCAGGAGCTTCTATCTCCTAAAGTCAGATTTGATTTGCTTTGCCAGGTCTGGGAGCTAAAACCCTTTCTGTAGGAAAGGAATGAAGTAAACTCTTCTGAGGTTTAATGACTGGCACTGAATAACCTACCATAGGTGTTCCCACAGATTACTTTCTTTTTGCTTATTCTTTTTCTTCAGACTTGTGCCACTCAGTGCAGAAGTTTTTTGGTTCTGGGTTTTGGTTTTTTTGTTTGTTTGTTTGTTTGTTTTCTCCATTTAAATGTAGCAGGTACAGGCACCCTTCATGTTCTCTGTGAGGAATCTATAAAATGACTACAAATGCTTATTTATCTCTAAACCAAACAGAGTTCTAGGAAGCCATGCAATGTAGTCCAACTCCTAGGCAGATTTTCTTGCTAATATCTAACCAGACTCCTCCATAACAGCATACTGCAGAACTTCTCATGGTCATACTGGGACCATTAAAATTCTGAGAGTGTGGGACTTCTTTGCTTGTTTGTTTTAAAAAGGAATCATACATGATGTACCTCAGGGTGGAAAAGGATGTTAAAATAAGGAAAGAAGAATCCCCCAGCCCTTAATACGTTATATGTATATACTGCTCCATTGTCTAGAGGGGATTTAACCATATCTTTTGACTAATCAATCTGAGTTTTAAACTAACCACCTCCTGGCAAGTGATGACTTAGATCCAATGTTACACCTCATATATAACCAAAGAGAATGCTTTGATAGACTTCATAATGCACATTCCTTGAGAGCCTTGCGATGAAGAACCAGGCAGCTGCTGAAGCCCTAGGATTGCCACCTTGTGACCCACCCTGCACCCTTGCAACAGGCACACGAATCATCTCACCCTGCAGTCAGCTTTACTTTGAGGCACTGCTGGGCTCATTTCACCCAGTGGGGAAAATTCATGCACAAAACTCAGCATAGAGACTCCATATCAAAGCGAAAAATAAACGTATATTTGAAGATATTTCATTTAATTGACATTTGTTTGGTACATTTTTTCATTTCTCTCTTTCTAACCTTGCAAGATACTTTCAAGGATCAGTTTCTCCTGCTTCCCATATATCCCTGAGAAATATTCACTGAAATCTTTGTGAGTGCTCCCTCCTCTTCCTGTGATTGTTATCTTTGCATGTTCTTGCTTTATTATTTTTATTTCTACCATTATTTTTTTTTTCCCAATCTGCTTCAAGGCTTTTGTTTGTTTTGCCCTTGATAGCATTCCTTCTCTGCTTTGGTTTACTCACAAAACACATCTGTAACAATGAAGGACTTCCTGGTGCTCACTTCTGTCTAGATTTCTTCCAGATGAAGATGAGGTACAGATATTTTCTGAGATAGTTACTACATTTTGTTAGATGGATTTTTTTCCTTTGTATCTTTCACAAGAAAGAAAAACACCTCTCCAGAAGCCAAACAACTGCTGCTTTTTCTCAGGACTCAGTGTCTGTGTTAGGGCAGCAGTGACTAGCAGTCCTCCAGCACTCTGGTTTGGGGATTTATCTTCACTGTGCTTTCCCTCACTAAGGCTAAACCTAGGCTGCTGGTTTCTGCCAGCCAAAATCCAGATTTCCAGAGTGAAAGTCCCTGCCATAGCTGCTGTTCTCACTAATTGCACTAGTTAGGGCCTGTGATTTTGTATGCCTGGTGGGCACTCTTGCCCCCTGGGACAGCCAGCACAGTTGTAAATCCAGTCAGACTTCAGGGCATTCTGAAAAATCTCAAACTTCAACTGTTTGCTTTCCTGTATGAGCAAAAAACAAACAAACAAACAAAACAAAAAAAAAAACAGACCAACTCAACACCTTAATTAGCTCATATAGTATTGGAAATCCTCTGAACACTTGGATCTTTCCAGCAGCTTGCAAGGACATTACCCTTTTTGCCTCTGAGGCAAAAGAAGTCCTTCCTTCTTTTAGCCCTTTCAAATTATTTTCCTGATCAATATTTGAGCAATTACTTTTGCAGAGAGGGGGGCAGGGGGAAAAGCCTGCTTGTCTTGTAGACTCCTATGCAATCTATTTTTCTCTTGCTGTCCTGAAGGCTGAGAAAAACATGATGACATCACCCACTTTGCAAAAAAGCTGCTCTGCATATCTGCATGTCAAGTAGGATATGCTCTTCCTCTCTGCCCATGGGGAGCTGCTTCTCTTCATTGTCTCCACTTCTCCCTTGCTCCTGTCCTGTTGGGAGCTCAGCTGCAGCAGTCCCACAGCTCTGGCAGGCTATTTCTCATCTTTCACCTTGTTCCTACTATGTCTTTGCCAGTGCAATAATATCACGTTTATCCTTGAAAACACGCAACTCCAATTCAGTAATCTTATTATGCATGCCTCTACATTTGTTGAACAGCTTTTCTCGAGCTGCCCACTGCTCTCTGCTCCTAATCTCTGGATGCATTGCTTAGGGATTGAAAAGGCTGTTCAGTAAGCTCCTTCCTTATTATTGTTGATAGTAGGTACAAAATAAGAATGATAAAAACTCTTGGAGATGTATTCTCTACATCTAGAGCATTCTTCCCCCACACAGGCTTTCTATTCCTGGCCCTCCCTTATGGCATGCAATTTTCATTCATCTCTAGAAACCCGCCTGAATTAAGCATTCAGCAGAGGAAACCCCTCTCTCTCGTTGTAGGGGTCATGCCTTAGCGATGCCTCCTGCCTCCAGGGCTCTCACCACAGGGCAGGTGTTGACTTTGGCAGTTAAACCTGGATTGCCCATATTTTGCTTGCAGCTCTGAACTTATTTTTCTGCTACAGCTACTGCCTTGACTGTTCTGCTGTATATAGGAGAATATTCCCCTTCATCCAAAGTAAACTTCTGCTTTTGGAGCTCTTCAAAAGCAAAGCCTCAGTCCAAAGCCTTCCCCATGGGCTCAGGGATTTGCCTCTTTGGTCTATAGCTTATTGCCGGGTTTCTAGCACAGCACTGTCCTGTGGATGTACAAACAATTGCTGCTCTGTATCAGTTTCATTTCATCCTGCGGCTC